TTGGTGATGGACAGGGAGGCCTGGCGTCCACGGGGTCTCCAAGAGTCAGACACAACTGAGTGACTGAACTGAAAAACTAGTGACCTTGAGCATCTCCTCACGTTCCTGTTGGCCATCTCTGTGTTCTAGGAGAAATGTCTGTTCAGTAACCTAACAAGCCGGTTATCAGGGCTGCTGGTATTCCGCATTCTGAGTTCTTCATGTATGTGTGCTATTTCCCATGGGTGCTTCCTGTAACTCCAAAGTTTGAGAGATCTGGGTTTTTTTTAAAACATAAAATTATTGCCCACTTTGCTTTCCGGTCAGTAGCAGAGGCAGAAGATAGTATATCATTATCCGTATGAATTAACGAGCTCCGAAGTTCAGCTTAAAAAAAAATACCTTGAAGGAGAAGCACTAAGGAGAGTTTTTCCCCCTGAAGTTAGGGACAGTCATTAATTTCTTCTTGTCATTTTTGCCCTTATTCCTTTTGTGGGCTCAATAGGAGATATTGTCTGGTAATCCCTTACAGCAGGCAAGACTTATGGGTTGTGATGTGGGTGTGATGGTTTTCTGAGAAGAAAGGATTAAGAGTTCTTTTGCAAAGCCTTCCCTCATTTTTTCCATTGACACCTCTAGTAGATGATTTTTGCAACCCAAACAGCTAGTGTTGATTGGATGCTATTTTTATTTTAGGCCATTGTGCTTTTTTTTTGGTCCTAAGAATTGAAGAAGCTAGCATCAGCCACCCAATAGTTTTCTTGTCAGAAAAAGGAGAATGTTTTCATTGTCTCCCTTTTGTATAATTTCGGAGAAACAACCCCAGAAGAAGTGAAGTGAAATTCCTGAAGGCTAAAAAGTTTCTTATGAGAATGTTCCTTATCCCTTTTGATATTGAGAATATAGTTACTAACTGGGTGGTCATTGGAAGACTAGGAATGGTAGCTATTGTGATGCTTTAGAAATATGTTCTTCTGGCTTATTGTTGTGATCACGTTAGGTCTTTAGGAGCGTAAATTAGGATATAAACACTCCAATGTGTTATTTATGGTGTTTGTTTTATTATTTTTTTGCCATATAGTATGGCACTCGGAATCTTTATTCCCCAACCAGGGATTGAACCAATGCCCTCTGCAGTGGAAGTGCGGGATCTCTGGACTGCCAGGAAAGTCCCTGTTTGTGTCTTTTTATGCCATCAAGCAATTCAGTCAGTTCAGTTCAGTTGCTTAGTTGTGTCTGACTCTTTGTGACCTCATGAATCGCAGCACGCCAGGCCTCCCTGTCCATCACCAACTCTCAGAGTTTACTCAAACTCATGCCCATCGAGTCGGTGATGCCATCCAGCCATCTCTTCCCCTGTCATCCCCTTCTCCTCCTGCCCCCAATCCCTCCCAGCCATCAGGGTCTTTTCCAGTGAGTGAACTCTTTGCCTGAGGTGGCCCAATTAACTCAATCCAATTCCCATCAGACACAAACTGGGCGTCCTCCAGTTCAGCTCAATTCTGATGCTGTCCACCCGGAGGGGGCGCCAGATCGCACAGGGGAAGGGCTCAGGCCTGCAAGACTGAGCCCACCTTCCACGTCCAATCCAGTCACAAGTCCAGGCCGTCCCCTGCGCTTCTGACCAGCTGGCTCTGGGTTGGAGAGGCCTGTCCTCCTCTCAGGTGTGATTAACTTGCTAGAGCAGCTCACAGAACTCAGAGAAACACATAGCAGTTTCCTACAGAAGGATGCCTTTCAGGAACGGAAGAAAGAAAAGCCCAGAGCAAGGTCTTGTGGGGAGGAGCTTGGAGCTTCGCTGCCCCCTCTGAGCATACCTCCGCCTCCCTGCACCCCACCTAGTCACCAACCAGGATGTTCTCTGCACCCTGTTCTTTAGGGGTTTTATGGAGGTCTCATTGCATAGGCAAGAGTAAAGAAATTCTTGGCCACTGATGATTCTCCAGTGATTAAATCACTTCCAGCTCCTCTCCCTTCCCTGGAGACAAGGGAGTGGGACTGAAAGCTCCAACCCTCTCATCACAGGGGTCAGCCCCACGGACAACCATCTCCCATCCTTAGGTGACCAGGGGCTTACAAAAGTCACTCACTCACATAACAAATGACACATTTAAAGCTCTCATCTCTTAGGAAATTCTGAGGGTTTTAGGAACTCTGTGCCAGAAATAGGTACAAAAAGCAAATGTACATTTCTCATCATAAATCACAATTTCACACTCCCCTCCCCTGGCTCTGGCTTACGATAAAACAACTTACACGTATCTGGAAAATGAATGCATTTTCAAGCTCAGTCTGTTTCATTCTCAACAGCACAGAACTCAGAGAGCAGTGTGTATTTAATAACGTGAGTTACAAGAAAGTCGTGGTTAGCCCTGTTATCAAATGCAGAGATCTCAAAATTCTATTCTGCTGGGGCTGGAACTAACTAAATGTGAAAATGAAATATTCTCACATAATGAAGCGAGTTAGGATCTTGGTTTCCCCTGTTAGTAGAACGACAATTCAACTCTCTTAACATGTTTGAAATGTTAAGTTTAGACAGAAAAAGGTTTTGGTTGTGCTTTCTTTGTCGAAGTACACCTTGTTTTAGGACAGGAGGAGGGGAGATATTGGGCCTGATGCTCTTGACCTTCATCCACCCTCTGGACCTAAAACTCCCCAGCCCAAATCCAGGTCCCCAGGTCCCTTGCTTTTTCACAGTGAGGCCTCTAAAGCATGACGGTTTCCTCAGTGTATCTGTGTGGGAGTTGGAAGCTGAGATGGGGACCGTACTCCTTCTGCTGGTGTGACTGGTGGACAGGGTCATGAAGGGATGTGTTCAGAGGCAGATGCAGTGGTCAGGATTCTGTTCAGTCCCCCTGCGCTTGTGGGAGAGGCTGTTGAAGCCGCCGCCGCAGCAGCATGCAGATACTGGGATCAGGGCTACCTGCAGTGCTGTCTCTTGAGTTAAAAAGCCTAAGGGGGCTTCCCTGGTGGCTCAGCTGGTAAAGAATCTGCCTGCAATTTGGGAGACCTGGGTTTGATCCCTGGGTTGGGAAGATCCCCTGGAGAAGGTAAAGGCTAGCCACTCCAGTATTCTGGCCTGGAGAATTCCATGGGCTGTATAGTCCATGGGATCACAAAGAGTCGGACACGACTGACTGACTTTCACTTTCACTTCAGACCATCGATACTGTACATACCTAATTCCTGTATCACATCCCTTCCTGATCAAAATACCTGAAGTGGTTTCCGTTCCCAGCCCTGGATCGGGACTGGTCGGGCTGTGGCTGAGATAGGGAAGCAGAGGATGGCATGGGAGCATTCCTGGATGTATACCCATCTTTCTAGAGCAGGGGTCCCCAGCCTCTGGGATCTAATGCCTGATGATCTGAGGTGGAGCTGATTTAATAATAATAGAAATGCAGGGCACAATAGATGGAGTGCTCTGGAATCATCCTGAAACCATCTCCCACTTCCACCCCAAGCCCCGGTCCATGGAAGAATTGCCTTTCATGGATCTGGCCCCTGGTGCCAAAAAGATTGGGGACCGCTGTTCTAGACAATGTATCTGAGGGGTAGAACCCCTCATTTGTCATGAAAGTCAGGTTTATAGAGGTATAATTCATAAATAATAAAACTCATCCCTTTAAAAATGCAGTTTTATCACTTCTGTCCTTTGATTTGTTACGGCAGTTCCATCACTTTGCAAGATTCCCTTGGGTTCCTGTTTATTTAACTTCTCCTCTGTCCCTGGTGAGCACTCATCGGTCGTCTTCCACGTAGTTTTGCCTTTTTCAGACTCCATCTAAATGGAGTCATGCAGTCTGTATTCATGAGTCTGGCTCCCTTTGTTGGGCATAACGATTGTTGTGTTAGTCACTAGAAGTGTTTATTTGGTGCCCAGATACCTGCCTCTGGCCTGGAGAGAAATTGGAGAGTCATCTCGTTAATCCCTCTGCTGTGGCTTCCCAGGTGGTGCTAGTGGTAAAGAACCCACCTGCCAGTGCAGGGGACGTAAAAGACTTGGGTTCAGTCTCTGGGTCGGGACAATCCCCTGGAGGAGGGCATGGCAACCCACTCCAGTGTTCTTGCCTGGAGAATCCCATGGACAGAGGAGCCTGGCGGGCTACAGTCCATGGGGTCGCAAAGAGTCGAATACAACTGACGCAGCTTAGCACGCACGCATGGGTACCTTCAGCAGAAAGTCTTGATGCCATGTCTCAGGATCATGCTGCCAGCTCCTATCAACCCTGGGTTGAGTGTTTCATTAGAACACTTTGCTTGGTGAATCATCTGCACCGCAGTGGCAGCGTTGCCATCAAGAGACCATATGCCCTGCATCCCCCCAGTCTAGCATGTTCAGAAAGACTTCTAATGTCCCTAGTACTAAGGACTGGATCAGCATATACATTAGCTAAATGGGCTTTGGTTAGAAAATGGCAGAATTGCATTTTCAAGTGCTATGTCATAATCCCTCCTTCTCCAATGGGGAGGGTATTGTCTTACCAATGAGGGGAAGAGACAGATATAAAAGATTGAGCTGAATGTTGCCTCAAGAAGAATTTTCATGTCCTTGGTTGAATTGTCATTTTTAGCCCAGAACTTTTGAACCACTCAGTTAACATAGAAGGCTGTCAGTTTTGAAATACTCTGAAATTCAAGTTGAAGCCTGGCCAGTCTAATCTCAAGCCATTTTGATGACGGTTTACTCCTCACCTCCACAGTACATCAGGGTATAGGTATGTGTAGATTTGAGCATAAGGATAAGGCTTGGGATGGTGATAGCTTTTTCAGGATAAGGTGGTGTGCTATTTTGATCCTTTGGGTGATTTTTAAAAAATTTTATTATTTGTGGCCATGCTGGTCTTTGTTGCTGTCCTCAGGCTTTCTCTAGTTGTGGTAATTGGGGACTGCGCTTGGATGCAGTGGGGTGTGTGAGCTTCTCATCGCAGTAGCTTCTCTCGTTGCGGAGCATGGGTTCTAGAGTGCAGGCTTCAGTGGTTGCGGCTCACGGGCTCAGCTGCCTCGTGGCGTGTGGGATGTTCCCAGATCAAGGATCAAACCTGTGTCCCCTGCATTAGTACACAGATTCTTAACCACCGGACCATCAGGGAAGTCCTGCGGAATTCTTTTAGTCCACATTTTCAACCTTGAAGATTTGTTCAAAATATTTGATACACATTTATTTGTTATCAACTGCTTGACCAGGGAGTGAGACAGCTTACTTATAATGGTGGAAAATTGCTTTTGTGATTTCCGTGATAGGTCCACAAAGTTTAATGGTTGCTCTGTAGGAGATGTTGTCGATCATGTCCAGACTTTGTAGCGAGAAAGTTCATGGGTGACATGATTACCTGTTTTCTACCCCACTCCCCTTCCTTAGTCAGAGAGTTTAATTGCGTCAAACTTTCCAGATCCCGTGGAATACTTTTTTCCTCTGTGAATCATGCCTTTGAATCAGTAAATATTAGAATAGTCTTTAGGGGTCCAGTGGCTACTCCACAGACTGCAGTGACTGACTGGCTTGCCAAGAGTCACAGGACTGATGAACAATAAAGGTGAGGTGAAAGTCTGGACTTCTTTATCCCGAGCCAATGCCCTTTCCTATAGACCACACCATTTCCTGTGTCCAGAAGGAATCTTCAACTGCAAATAACAGAGAACCCAACAATTAGAAGCTCAAGCAATAACACCGTTTAATTTTCTCACGCAATTGGACTTCTGCCAGTAGTGGTCATAGGTTTGTTGGAGTCACTCCTGATGCCCTTGAAGATACAGGCTGTTAGAAATTGGTATGCAGGTTCCTCAGAAACAAAAAACTAAAACCGGAACTACTGTCTGATCCAGCAATCCCACTGTGTGTCTTTATCCAGAAGCATTGCAATCAGGATCTGGAGATGTTTACACTCCAGTGTTCATTTATTTCAGCTTTGTTCTTTAATAGCCACAAGGTGGAAACAACCCAGATGGATGAATGAACAAAGACAGTGTGGTATATGGATACGATGGATTGTTAACCTTAAAAAGGGTGAGCCTTCAGGACATTATGCTAAGTGAAATACGCCAGTCACCGAAGGACAAATACAGGATTCCACTCATAGGAAGTCTCTGAAGTTATCAGACTCATAGAAACAGGAAGTGGGATGATGGTGGCTGGGGTAGCGGGGGATGAAGAGCTTGCTCTCCGTGAGTGGAGAGTCCCAGTTGTACGAGACGAAGGGGTGGAGGTCCACTCTGCAGCCGTGTGCGTGTGCCTGAGACTGACCCTACTGCACACTTCAGCATTTATGAGAGTAGATCTTGTGAGTCCTTTGTGATGCAACACATCGGTTACCTCTCTTTAAAAAAAAACAAAAAACAAAAACAGGTTTCTTCCATTATTCTTGAGTTGGTTTTTCATCCCCACGCTTGTCATGGTGGCGGTGTGCCAGCCTACAGTCCCAAGCACCAGAAACTCATGGCCTTCCTTTAGAATGTGGGATGAGATGAAGGCTTTCCCAGGATGCCCCATGTGGGAAGGGAAGGCCCCAGCACACTTTTCCTGTAAGTCCCAACCAGAACTAGATCCCCCGGGGCCCCACCCAAGACCTATAACTCGAGCCTGGCCAACTGGGTTTCCACGACTGCTTTGGAGTAATCAGTCACCCTCCATGGGCATGGAGGAGGGTGCTGAATCACAGTGAATCTTGAGTCCTAGGTGGCCCCACATTGGGTCCTCATTAGCAGGGGGGAAGGTGGGATAGCCTTGGGGTGTGGAGATAGTGTGACTGGACCCCCCAGACCTGCCCCAAGTAGGTTTTCTTCCTGCAGCACTCATCTTCAGCTTCCATAAGACTTTTCTAGCCCTACCATTTCATCTCATAGGCCAAATTCTTTGATGAGTGAATATGAACAAAAGGTCCATCTGTACTGTTCATATCTTGAGGGCATCTTCTCCCTGTCCTCATCTCTGTCTTTTGCTCTTTCTAGGAGTCTGGATGCCCCAATAGAAGTAAGTCTAGGGACTTCCCTGGTGGTCCAGTGGTTGAAACTTTGTGCTCCCAATGCAGGGGGCACAGATTCCATCCCTGGCCGTGAAACTGAGATCTCACGTGCCATGCAGCATGGCCCAAAACCTAAAAAATAAAAAACAGTAAGTCTAACCTGCTGGGTGGCACATGAGTTATGAATGCTGCTGTAATGAGAGATTCATTAATGACCAGTGTCCTGGCCTCCCTAAACAGAAGGCTCTCCTACTAGTTAGTCTATTTCTCCTGATTGGCCTTGACCTGTCCTGCACATACTAGATGGTGGTGGTGACATGTGGAACTCTTATTATGACCTCTTCAGAAGATCCATGCAGGGCATTCCAATTTGGGTCCTGACACTATAGGAATGAACAGTGGGTTTTAATCATCTGGATTTTTTCTTCTCCTCTTCTGGCTGTAGGTCTGCAGAGACAGCAGTCCATCCACTCTGCAAATGTAGAAGATACACCTCCTAGTTACCAGACCCTCAGGACTTAGAAATCAGAAGGATCCAGGTTGTTGCTTCTGTTGAAAATAGATCCTTCCCTCATAAGTTTGCTCTGTGTCCCAATATAGTAAGGTAGTAATTATTCATCTTCTTGATTGTTTGTTCATCAAACACTAATTGAGCTACTATGTGGTGGACATTGAATGGGAGACTCCTTAGTTTAGCAGATTTCATAGCTCAGTACTGTGAGCTAAATCATACCCAGGTGGCCGGTGCATGAGACTTAAGAGGTACGAGTTCAATCCTTGGGTTGGGAAGATCCCCTGGAGGAAGGCATGGCAACCCACTCCAATATTCTTGCCTGGACAATCCCACGGTCAGAGAAGCCTGGTGTACGATCCATAGGGTTGCAAAGAGCCAGACGTGACTGAAGTGACTTAGTGTGCATGAGCTAAATCATAGACCACCTTCCCGACAAGTTGAAGACCTAACCCCTCATAGGACTGTATCTGAGAGCCCTCAGGAAGCAGCTGAGGTTAAGTGAGGTCGTGTGGGTGAGGCCCTAATCCACGAGGACGCTCTCTGACTCTCCACCCTGGGAGGACGTGGCAGAAGGCAGCCGTCTGCAAACCGAGAAGAGAGCCCTCATCAGAACCCAGCCGTGCTGGCCCCCTGATCTTGGACTTTCAGCATCTAGAACTGTGAGAAAATAAACTCCTATTGTTGAACCCAACCCAGTCTATGGACTTTTGTTTGCCCAAGCTAAGACACTCAGCTTATTAACTCCATGCTTTTTTCACAGTAGTCACAATTTTTTTTTTATACCTTGCTTGATATTAGAAGCAGGAGAGATGGTTTTTAGCTTAGTGATGCTTCCAGGTTAGTTTGCCAACCCTGTGGGGGCTCTGGTGGTCTGGGGCTGTGGTCTGCCTGTGGCCCGTGGCAGTTAAAATGACCATGTGTGAGATGCATGGCGGTTGGTGGTGCTCTCATAGGATCCGATTGTTGTTCCTCTTGTGGCTGAGAGCTCCTGTCTGTAAAAAAAAAAAAAAAGTNTCTCCACTCCCCCCTCCTCATCCCCCTCTTCTCCCCTCCCTCCTTCTCTTTGCCTTCCTGCCAGTCCTGTGGCCACAGAGAGGGAAAGCCCGACCTGAACCAGACGTGAAGAGTGGAAGAGTGCATGCAGGTGGTAGGATTATTTTTAGTGTGCTGTTGTTTCGGGTTTATTTATTCTCTTCCTAGCCAGGTGGCCCCAAATTTCACAACTCCCTCTGCTTTCCCCTGGCCCGCCTTGCCCTGTGAAGTGCTACCAGCAGCAACAAGCTCTTCGCCATCTGCCCGGCTTACATTTTTATTTGCCCACGATGAATAACTCTTCCCAGGGTGATTTATATGTCCCCTCTGATGATGTTCACTTGCCAGAGATGGGAAGTCGATGCTCAGAGATTTATGATCTTGGGAAAACAATGTTATGGAAGAAATGAAGAAAGTCTTTTCTCACATCCACTTTGAGCTCTGCCTGAATTAATCAATGAGTTCTTGGATCCCTTTTGCGATGTGAAATTGAGTTTTGTAGATGGATTATGGGGCCGTGAGGCATGGGGGCTGCCTCTGTGCTGTATTGTAATTCTAAATCCTAAATTTTTTGGTAATGATGAAAGATGAGCAGCTCACCAGAGCAGAGATGATGTGTGTGTATGCGATTGAAATTGTCTAAGTCCTGGTAGTTAATTCTCTCCCTGCGGATATAGGACTCCAACGACCGCTGCTCTGACACTTGATCCTACTTTACCGGCAGCTGTTTGGCTGTCCGTCCTGTTCCCAAAGCTCTCCTGTCCCTGCAGATATTAGAGCAGCAGGGGTCAAGCAGGTAGACTTTGTGAGGTGACAGGTGACACCTGGCCACCACCATCTTCTTTCTCCTCTGGGAACAGTCCGTAGTCATCGCTTACCCAAAACCCTGACCCCGCTTCTCTGCCATTCTCCACCTGCAGCTGGCTCGTTAGACACTGGACTGTCCTCCGTCACATGTGGCTCTGTCTGTCGGCTACAGTAATCCCAGCCAATGACCTCATCACTAATAAGCATAAGAAGAGAGGCAGATACGCAGCCATTTGGAGGAAAAAGGAACCATGACTTTTTTGGAAGTGAAGTTAAACCTGAGTGAGAACACTGTATCAATTGTTAAAGCCCAAAACTGTCTTTCAGATTGCCCCCAAATCTGTTTTCCTCGATCTTATCAGAATTGCTTTCCTTGAGAGACAATAAGCACTGTATAGAACTTGACTGCCTTTAAGTAATGCTGCAAGGCATCAGATCTTACAGCCGATGTATAGTATTTAATCCACACTCTGAGTTTGGAAGAGTTTTGTGGGTCATTCTGGAAATGGGCCCCACCATGAATGACATTGTTTTTTGGAAAATGTGTTTCAGACCCCAGATATCTTCTTTTCACCGGCTTGTGGACTAAAATGCAGGGCCAGCTTGCAGTTTTGTTTTAAAAAATTATATAACTGGGGGAGAAAACAACCCCTTTGGGGAACATGAGGTTTTCTTAGAGTGACTGAAACCAGTTTCCTGTACTGAAGTGAGAAATGCAAGCAAGAGAAAGGGACTGCTCTTAGATTTACCTGCTTTTTTATTTCATTATGGTGCAGTTTTAGAGCTAAGAACTTTATTTAGAATGAAATCTTACGTAGAAATTCCCAGAATGAGAAAATACCCACCCATGTTAGATGCTGTTTTGTGAAATCAGTGGGTCTTCACCCAGAAGAGGGGAGAAGTGAGGTTACATGTAATAATGGCTTCTTCCTGAGCCTTAACAGATCCCCTTTATAAAGCAGCAGCATGCCCATCTCATAGAAGCAGGCTCTTTGTTTATTTATTTTTTTTAGAACACAAATTCCTGGAAGAAACGATCAGTAGAACATAAGAGACAAAAGAATAACTGAGAAGGGGAGATCCTCTTTTTGATAGTCTGGCTGTTGAGATGAATGAAAAGTGTTTCAAAGCTGCAGGAGTATGTTGGAGAGGTGAGGTTAGATGTTTGCATGCCTAGATCATTGGAACGAAGCTGGTACTCTGTCTTCTCTTGGGCATTCTGGTCTAGGGTTGATGTCCTGTTGAGCCATGCCTTGATGTGGAGGGGCAGGTGTTAGCATGATGTGTCTTTAGGGTCCCCTCTGTGGAGGCTGGCAGAGTCGATTGGACCCCAGTCCGTTTATTTACTGTTTTTGAGAACGTGGGTGGGTAAATGATCAGTGGTAATGATCGTAGTAGTTTCCTGATGAAAATGTCACGAGGACCAGTTGAGACAGTGCCTTGTCAGTGTTCAGCTCTCTGCGTCGCACATAGTAGGTACTCACTTGTCTAAGTCAGTCCTTGTTCAGATTGTCTTTGACCTGCCTCTCTTATCTTGTAGTATCTTATCTTTAGATACAAGTTAAGTTGAGAAACCCCTCGGAGCATTTGTTGTTAAGCAAGTTTGAGTTCCTGCCACGAGATTCATTTCTCTTATGTTGTTTTCCTAAAGAATAGTCTGGGTGTAAATGATGACAAATGTATCTATTTATATGGTGACCCCGATTTACAAAGGTCTTCCACTATTCAAATATGGCTTCTCCGGCTGATGAAGAAATGATGAAGGCACTTCTGTTGCAAGACAGGCATCTTGCCAGGCTCCTCGCTGAGGAATTCCTAAAACCATCCATCCAGTTGCAGAGTGGTCCCAGCTCCCTGGGCATCTGGAAGGCATGCTGACTTTCACACCCCAGCCTTGCTCAGCAGAGGAAGTCTGGAGTGTAGAGAAATAAAGGAAATATTTCGTAGACTGTATTAGTTTTGTATTGCTGCTGTAGCACATGGCCACGAACTTAACAGCTTGTAAAGCACAAATATATCATCTTAGAGTTCTGTAGGTTAGAAGTCTTACACAGGTCTTGGTGGACTAAGATCCAAGTGTCAGCAGGATGGCATTCCTTTCTGGAGGGAGGCTCTAGGGGTGAATCTGTTCCCTTGGCTTTTCCAGTTTCTAGAGGCCACCTGCATTCCTTGGCTTATGGCCTCTTTCTCCCATCTTTTTTAAAAATGATTTTTTTATTTGGCTGCACAGATTTTTCTCTCGTTGTGGCAAGCAGGGGCTACTTTCTAGTTGTGGTGCGTGGTCTACAGTAGTTGTGGCACTTGGGTTTTGTTGCCCAGTGGCATGTGGAATTTTCCCAGACTGGAGATCAAACCCGTTTTCCCTGTATTGGCAGGTGGATTCTTATCCACTGTACCGCCAGGGAAATCCCCCTTCCTCTGTCTTCATCTTACATCTCTGTGACTCTGCTTCCACACTCGTATCTGACTCTTCCACTTTTAAGGATCCTTGTGGTGACATTGGACCCACCCAGATAATGTAGAAGAGTCTCCCTACTTTAAGATCAGCGGATGAGCACTCTTTCATTCCCTGCTGCCTAACAATAATAACCTAACACAGTTAATAACCTAACACAGTCGAGTCCTGATTATTAGAACGGAACAATTATGGGCCATTATTCAGTCTACACAGCAAGCAGGTTGGTTGGCAGTCACCAAATACATTAGACAAACCAAAGAAAGAAAACTGGGATCGACCTCTGGCTTGCAGTAGAACCAGTGGTTAAATTGCTCCCTTTAAGAAAGCAGACAGCTCAGCTGGATGCGTTATCAGGAGAGAAGTGACTGGCTTTGCTTTCTGTACACAGTGAAGCTTTTCCAAAGTGGCTTTTCCCAGCCTGTCCCTGCTCCCATCCCCCACTCCCACTGCTCCCAGGAGCCTCAGAATTAGGTCAGATGCGACCCATGAGGTCATCTTTGACAGTTCACACAGTTCAGAGCTTGTCAGTGGGAGGAGGAGCAGGAGGACTTGGAAAATTGCTGTGAAACAACATAATTGTTCCATAAATATAGCATAGGATTTGTAGGAAGTTGGAAATGCCCACTATTTCTTCCTTCCAACACGACCACCTACAAGGAGCTGCTGTCTCTCTTCTGGGGAGTCTGTCTGCAGAGCAAACATACATACTTTAAACAGTTTTTACAGCAGTGGAATCACACTATAGATAACGTGGCTCTTTCATTTTTAATTTAACAATAGACCATAGGTGTATTGTTAGCATTCCTTTTAACAGCCGCAAAGCATTCAAGTCTGTGTCTCATAATTCATGGAATCACATACCGTAATTTATCAATATTTAACCACTAATTTGTTTAACCAGGCTCCACGAGAGACTTTCAGATTGTCCAGTTTCTTTTACAAATAATGCTTGACACATATTTGGCACACGAATGCACAGCTGTCTTATATAGGGAAACTTTCTAGTAGTGGAATTTAAGTGGAATTCAGCCAGCATATGTGGGAATTGAAAATTTTGCTGAAGACTTTTGTGTATTGCTGTCCTAGGGTCGCTGACTGGGATGAGCCGCTGGTTCGCTGTGTTTGTGGTGGTGGTTTCACAGGGACATTTGACATTGTGGGAATGTACTTGAGCTGCTGTGTATACCCATCCTTCCTGGAAGCATCATCTGCAAGAATCAAGCATCCTGTCATGGAGAGCACTGGTCCTCCTTCCCGCGGACCACCTCCCCAGGCCCCCTTCTTACTCGGAGGCAGAAGTCAAAATGCGTAGCCATCATTCTGCAAGTGGTCCTGGCTTTGACCCTCCGTCCCTATCCACGGCTGATTGTTGCTGGTTTTAAGGCAGTTTTTTAAAGATCTTTTTTCAAAAATGTATTTATTTGGCTGTACCAGATCTTCGTTGCACTCGGGATCTTCAGCTGCTACATTTCGAACTCTTAGCTGCAGTATGTGTGATCTAGTTCCCTGACCAGGGATTGAACCCTGACCCCTTGTGTTGAAAACACAGGGTCTTAGACACTTGGACCCCCAAAGAAGTCCCTTAAGACAGTTTTATGCAGGATACTTATCAAGTTTAAGAAAAAAACAACAGTAGTTTTATTTCTCAGAAAATGAAGCACATAATGTCAGAAGTTAAACTTTTTTTTTTTAGTTCTAAAGACATCTGATGGTAGCATGATAAAATATTCAGTTAAACATCAATTTCAAATAAGGTATCATCTACCACAGGATATTTTTAAACTCGCATGAGGGATGTGTTTCATGATCATGCTTTATGAAAGGGATGAAGATTTATCGTTCAGGAATAGACCGTTTATCAAACGTCTACCCAAGTGCCAGGAAGCTTAGCTTCGAGAGTCACTGCAGGGCCCTGTTATGCTGGAGAAATGGAGATGCTGTGCCTCAGAATGGTCTTAAAAAAGAAAAGAATTAGTGTTTTAAAGAGTGTGGGTGCTCCCTGAGACATTCATACCTTAAAATTGACTGTGGTCTTTTTTGTGCTAAATATCATCCAGTTTTTAAAAAATTGTATTTTGTTGAAGTATGGCTGATCTACAACGTGTTAACTTCTGTGCAGCCAAGGGATTCGGTCACACTCACATGTGTTATCTCGTATTCTTCCCGCCATGGCTTATCACAGGGCGTTGGATGTAGTCCCCCGTCTCTGCAGAGAGGCCTTGTCTGCCCTTCCTCTGTAGACAGTCCCAGCCCTTCCTCCTCTCCCTGCCCTTTGGCGACCACGAGTCTATTTTTGTGTCTTGGGAGTCTCTCTCTGTTTCACAGAGACATTCAGTTGTGTCATATTTTAAGCTCCTCATGTAAGTGATATCATATGGTACTTTGTCTTTCTCTGTCTGATGTACTTGGTAATCTCCAGGTCCCTCCATGCTGCTTCAAGTGGCATTATTTCATTCTTTTCTGAGCCGAGTGACATTCCGTTACATATAATACACAGCATCTTCCGTATCCATCTTCTGGACAGAGGTTGTTTCCGTGTCTTGGCTTTCGTGAATAGTGCTTCTGTGAACTTTTGGGGTACGTGTATCTTTTTGAAATCTGGTTTTAAACCCACAGTTCTGATCATGAGTAACTCTCACCACACAGTTTTCTCATTCCTCTGGGATGGTTACAACTGTCTCACACGTTTCCCCTTGAAGTTTTCATTGAATGAAGCAGAGTATGGGGCAAGGCAGAGTATGATACTGTGATGGTTTTTAAAGTCGAAGACGTAGTAAGCCTCATTGGGATTTTATGGCAGTGGAATAATCTGAAAAAATGAATTGTTGCAGTTACCTTCTTAGATCCCGAGTATCAATTCCCATTCAGATAAAAATACAAGGAAACCTTCTTTAATAATATCTGCTATCACAGTGGCTAGAAAAAAATAGTCGTATGAAATGCAAATTAAAAAGCAGAGAAAATGCCGGCTGTTTGAGCCAAAGTGTATTGAGTGGGATTTAGAGATTGGAGCATCACTTGAGGCTTATTGGTGCTTCCTCACTGTAGAGTTAAGAGCTGTGTGGTTTTGTTTCTGGTTTATTCTTTTTCTTTCCCCTCGCTACAAAACCCTAGATAGAGCCTATTTTTCTCCCTGATGCTTTTCCCTAAGTTTGTTAGTTTTCATAGAAGTCAGAACATTATAGACGTACACCAGGGACTTTTTAAAAAATGGATGGATTTTATTTATTTATTTATTTGGCCTTGCTATGCAGCATGTGGGATCCTAGTTCCCCAACCAGGATTGAACCTATGCCCTCTGTGCTTTCTCAACCCCTGGACCCCCAGGGAAGTCCCCTAGAAACTTTTTAAGAGAAGTAAATAGTCTAAAATTGCCCAAGCTTCGGATTGTTTCTACAATTTCTAGCTCCCCTGAGAATGGTGTCCCTGGTGGCCTGGACAGAGTGTTATCTTCAGAACAATTTAATGGGCTTTGCCTCTCCTGTTATTCATGATGCAATCCCATTTTACCTGCAAAGAACAATAAATGCCTCTTGCTTCTAATGACTCAGAAGCAAGGCAAAGCTACTCTGTGGTTTGAGGGACCACTAGACATCTCCTTTGGCTTATCATCCCCTCCCCAAATTTTCACTGAGTATGCTGTGCACTCAGTCATGTCTGACTCTTGCTGACCCCATGGACCGTAGCCCACCAGGCTCCTCTGTCTACGGGCTTTCCCAGGCAAGAGTACTGGAGTGGGTTGCCATTTCCTCCTCCAGGGGATCTTCCCGACCCAGGGATTGAACCCAGTCTACTCCATTGCAGGCAAATTCTTTACCCACTGAGCCACCTGGGAAATTTTCCCTGGAGAGAACCAATTGGGAATTTTCAAGTGAGAGACAGAAATGATGAAATTGGACAGACGCAATCCTGAGTCAGAGTTAAATGAACACCTGCTGTAGCCACTCATGCTCTTCCAGTCCAAGCTTATAACTTTCTCATCCAGCTTTTGGGTCCTTAAGAAAAATTTCCAGGACCTGGTCTAATGTTGAGAAATGTAATTTCCTTCTTCAACGTGTGCCTACCTGAGATTTGGGGGAAAGTTGTCCATGTGTCCATGATTGGATCCTGTGTCCACACTGAGCTCTCAGGATTAAGTTTGGAAAGGCATTGGAGACCGTGACACACCTCCTGCTACTGACTTTGCTGGGGGCCAGCCCTCCAACACGCCTGCTGCTTTTCTGGGCTGGTCCTTGGAGTCCCTGTGGCTTTTCATCATAGGAGCAGTGCTTTCCTCAAGTGCTCACATGTGTCAAAATCACGTGGGGGCTCGTAACCCTCAGGCTCTGCAGAGGAAGGGGCGGAAGTAGGGCGTGTTCAAGGGGTATAGAGTTTCAGTTTCACAAGACGAAGAAGTTCCAGAAATTTATTGCCCAATAACCTGAATAGAATTGATACTACTGAACTGTACACTTAATAACAGTTGAGATGTCAAACAAGCAGTCAGATGTAAAGTGATTGGTCATAACTATGCACTAAGGCCTGTACGTTGCATTGTATATAAATTCTGCTTCGATTCAAAAATGGCATCAAAACGCAAACAACACAAGTCTGGGCACCTGTCCCCAGAGTTCCTGGGTCTGAAAACCTGGGATAGGACCCAGACTTTGCATTTCTTTCTTTTTTTCTTTTATTAAGCATCTTTTGGGAGAAGGGGGCTGCG